TGGGTACACTTTTTTTGGTTTTTAAAATAAAAAATCATATTTGTGTACTTATTTAGCCTATCTTTATATATTGTTACAATGTGATGGATCTGGATATGAACATTTTAAGTGTTCCAAAGGCAGAAGAAATCAGTGAGAGGGCTGATTCTCATTCACTGAGCAACCACATGGCAACATGTTTAACAGAGAGAATATTCTCTTTTCTGGAAGAAAATGTTTAGTTTTTGTTTTCCTAATTTATGCTTATTGTTCGCCATGTGTATAAAAAAATAAAAATCTCAACAACCACATTTTCCAACGGAGAGGAGAAAGGTATGGGCTAGATCCAGTTTCTCATTGACTATTCCCGTGGTGAATCGAGCCCTGCCGCACTGAGTGATTGCTGTTCCCTGTGGCATCAATAATACAGGAGGAAGTTATTGTCAATGCGCAGGCCGCAGTATCACAGAGCTGAAGCAGGTGGAGGCAGGGGGTGGTCCTTTCACCTAGTCCTCTTGGGTTTCAGAGCCAGCAGACAGCGCTTTGATGCTGGGGAGTCTGCTCCTGTGCCACCGCACAAGGCTCAATTGTACGTTTCTCTGACTGAGGTATAGAGGAGTCTAAACAGTGACAGGCTGCACAGCCATGCTGACCCAGCCCCTTTGGTAAGACTACACCTGCAAAAAAAACCCACTGTCACCTGATGAGTCCCTGCTCAATAGGGGATCAGTCAGCGGGAGACACTGGGCAGTTCAAAAACAGGATAGATATCCTGGGTGTGATTAATATGATCCAGATTTTCACCTTGTTTACACACATAGCTGCGAGCTGTGACCTTCCCACAACATCAATCTGCAGACGGCCAAATAAACTCCCTAATAAGTTGTTTTAGACGCCATGTGTATTTTGAGCTGTAAAATGTTTGTTAGAAAAAAACCAAAAATAGTTTATCTCCCATTTAAGGCCTCAAATAAACTGAAGCTGCAGGAACTAAACTGCAGTGCACCTCACACAGCTAAGATAAGAGGCCAGTAGTAGTCACTGGTGGGAGGGGTGCCTGTGAAAGCTAGAGAAAGTCAGAGCGGTAGTGAAATAGAGACCCACTTAGGAGGAGGGCAGCGCACCGTGTGATGGCTACAAGAAGTATAGAAGGATGCTGAAAATCAATTAAAGAAAAAAAATGGATTCTAACTACTGGTAAGTTCAAAAAGTCTATTTGCTATATCTATTTATAGAATAAAATAACTGCATATATATCTAAAATATGTTTAGTCTTTTATGCAACATCCCTCTCTTTCAATGAGCATTAAGTTACAATACCAGATTATAGTTAATATATTTTATTCACCCTTTATGTATGCTTAGTAGCCTGGAGTGTTAAGTGGCGAGGTGATATAGAACCCAGTCATTAAGCTTTAATATCTCCACAGTGCTGTAATGTCTTTTTCCCCTCATTTAGACATAACAAAAACTAACACTGGATGCAAATTAAACAAAACTTTTGCTAAATTAACAGGGACAAAAAATAAGAAAAAATGTGACACCAATTCTTCGCTGCACATGCTGACATGAGATGACGATGGTGAAACAAAGGTCAGGAATGGCCGCTTTTAAATTCACAAGCATCATAGTTTGCATTGTTTTGCTTGGACATGGGACCCCTGAGAGTACAGGTGAGATTAATGACAAAGTAATTATCATGTTGCTACTCTGTGTGTGTAGCTCAAGTTGTGTCCTTTTATTACTGTTTTAGCGAGTACTAAAGAGGACCACAGGGATGATCTCCTGAAAGGGATCATCTCAAAGTGGAAAAAAGAAGCTGGTGTGCCACCCCAACCTGAAACAAACAAGGATCAGTCTCTGCCCACTTGGGTCAGAGGTATTGTTGGAGGCTTAAAAACCCTTTTTCCCACCAAGAACCTGCCTTCATTAAACAAGCCAATAGACAGACACCGTCTCTCTGGATTCCTCTACAACATTTCTCTGTATCTGCAAGAGATGGGTGCTGAGCTGGAAGATGTGCCCCCAGAGCAGGAAGAGGAACAGCTCTGGGAGAAGGTACTGCATTTCTTTCTCCAGTCTGAAGGCAATGCAGCCCTGAACCAGTGGAATGGCCGTGTACCACCCAGACCCAGCATTAAGATGCAGGACTGGTTTTTGTCCCTCAGAGGGAGTCCGCACTGGGACTGGCTGCTTGGGCTCCTGCAGAGCCTCATCACTCTCTCAGAGCGTCAGCCCCACAGACCAATCCTGACTTTCTTATCTCAGAACTGGCGCACACTGAGTGCTGTGCTGGAAGCTGCATTTCAGGCTCTTATCAGTGGGACGTATGGCCAGGCCAGTGCAGGTCTCGTTCAGGCGCGGGAGATCGAAGCGGGCAGCAGGCTCAGAAAAACCTGGCTCTTGTGCAGAGTTTGGATGGGTTGAGGCGAGGCCTTCTGCACAGGGTGGGAAGTTCTGTCTATGGTAACCTGAGAAAGAAGGTGTCACGAGTTACCATGGCATTACTTGATGATGTGAGCAGCCTGGTGGAAGTGCCGCAACCCAACTTTCAGGGCCGATGCACCGTTGGTGAGTATGATCGATGCACTTCAAACTACAAACCTGGCAAGCACACATTGGAGAGATTGCACAAAATGTTAAAAGAGATACTCATCTATCTATTGGTGAAGACTTTCATTTTAGTAATAAATAACAACTTCATAAAGTGATTTTTTTATGTCTGTAGGTCACAACACTGGATGAAAACCCTGCTTTATCTTGTCATCGTGCACACTATAGCAGCCATGAGACAATTTGGCAATAATGTTGATACAAGCATTTTATCTTTATCAGGTTAACGTAAACTATAATTAGTAATGTTTGGAATATCCAATAAACTGAAAGTATTACTGAAATTAAAGTGTTTTCTGTCAGAAGCATTTCCACTGCTGATTAATTTGAAGCATCAATAAACATCAATGAATTTAAAGAAAATGAGAGAAATGCAAAAAGTTTGTGCAATGGGGCAGTGCTATATCACTCGCATCTTTTCTAGTGAAGAGAAACCCTTTTGATCCTGAGTTTTATTTTAGTAGCGTAATTTGCATTTGAAAAGGTGCACTAAATGACATAATGCAAAAAACAACAACAAACGAACAACAAAATCAGCCCAGTCTTTAAATAAATCCTAGAAACATTTCTGTAATTATTGCAGGTACATCGTTAGATATTTTGATAGACCTTTATGTCCATATCTCCTTTCCCTTCATGAGACACTATCTACATGTTATTTATGAGTGGAATAAAAAAAGCCTTTGTTCGTAAACATAAATGTTTGGGTGAGACTTTAACTGGAACTTGTCAGTCTTGGTTTTCCATTTGTTGTCCTCTCCTGCCCTCTTGTGTCCTCTTTCCCTAGCTCTGTTTTCTGCTCTGTCCTCACCTGTTTTCAATCCTCTCGTTAGCCCTCTCTTTGTCTCTGTCCCCTTTAAAATCCCCGTCAAACGTCTGTCTGTTTACCTCGTCTCTCCCTGGCTGCTTCGTTGTTATTTATGTTGGATCTTTGATTCCTGCCTCCATACCTGTAAACCTCATTAAACCCACCAAAATTCACCTCTGCCAACTTGCCTCTGCTTTTGGGTCCTCAACCCAACATCAAACCCTGACAGAATTGTGTGATTTGGTCTGAGGAGAACACGATTTAGCCCTTTTGTGACCCAAACTGGAGGTGGCTGTGGGTGAGAACCAAAGAATACAAATATGTAGACCATCACCTCAGCCCTACAGTTTAGTACAGTGGAGGGGGTTTAATGCTCGGTTGTCGATTACTATCCAGAAATGCCTTGCATCTTACATTATATTACATTAAAAATAAAGTGGTAAAAATTAGAAGAAATTGTTCATTAGACAAACATAACACAATATGCATAGTAACAACCATACTATGCATATTGCTTTAAGTTAATAGACTATATTAATTAGGCTATGTATGCTTCCAAAAAAAAAATCAACCATCCTCCCTTTTTTTGTACAACTAAACAACTGATTATGATTAATCCTGCTTTGGTAATTATAAATATTTTTAATAATGGTGCATTTTTTACTCGGAGGTGACTTCAGGAAGTGATGAAAGCATTTCATTCCCATTTAAGACCTTAATTAGTCTGCCTCATGTTGAGTCTGAAAGGTCCAGCAGAGAAAGTGACACTGCTTTCAAATCTTTATCTCATTCAGCCACAGCAAGCCCCATTTGTTGACTCAGCAAAGCCCTTTATCCTTACATTGATGTCAGTAACATTATATCCTGGGCTTTGTTAGCTGAGCTAAGCTGTAGCATCAGTCATAGTAGCACTGCAGGAGTCCCCAGCTGCTTTTTATGCCACGCATTAACTTCCATTTTCAAATATTTGCCTTTGATTTTTCTTTTTTAAGGGAACTTAAGACAGCTGATCTTATGGTAAGTATATTTGAGTGAAGTGACAAAGAGTTTAAAAATTGGCATACTATAATAACTGTTTTGCTTATGGCTTTTCAGGGGGATAAGACATAATGTGCTTTGGAACACTCAGGCATTGGGGGTCAGCTCTCAGGGTCTCCCAAGCTCCCTTCCGTTTCTTTCCTGCCCCTCCACCCAGGGAGAGAAATTACAGTCACCACGACCTGCAGCTCAGTCATCTTCAAAAAAGGCTCCCTCTTCACAGAGCTCCTTTAAACAGAAACAATCCCCTAAATCCTCAGCTGCAGGTGCCAGACAGTTCACAGAGAGAAACAGCAAACAGAAGGAGATTGAGTTCTTCGCTTCCACAGAAATTCTGGAGGCAGCGTGTAATGAGTCCATCCCCGGCTTGACAGGCGTCTCTAACTTCACCGTTTTCCTGTACTGCAAACTATTTGAAGGGGAGAACGGGTCGGGTAATCCTGCTGCAACTCATTTAGAACTTGACCTGCATGCGACCTGCTTGGATGCAGCCTGGTACCTCTCTGCTGCTGAGCAAGACTTCTTTTGGGTCCATGTTTGCACTGAGTTCTTTGCCCATGAATTCAACAACACGGTGTGTTCCAACTCTTCTTTCTGGCTGCAGAAAGCACAGCAGGTAAAGGATACATTTTTAATGAGGGAAACTTTTGCTTGAGAGTTTAAAAGTTGGCACAATGCTTACAGAAAAAAAAAATGTCTCTAAGCAAACTAAAAGTTTTACAATTGTGTTCTTTCTATCCAGGAGAAGATATGTGTGAATTGTAAAAGTAAACACATTTTTTCCCTATTCAAACTTGCTAATCGTTTATTTATTAGTATAAGGTTTTTAGAGAAAAGTAAGATCCTAAATTTCAAGGTTAATTTTGACAGCATAAATTCAATTAAAGGTTACCAACAGCATAGCCGGGTCTTAAAAAATGTAAAAGGTTTATGTGACCAGAATTAAAGTCATTGCATTTTCCAAAAAACCCATAAATGGATAAATTATTTGTATGCACCTAATTTTTTTGCTAACCTCCATGCCTCTGTCTGCAGGCTGCAGCATCACAGGACTTCCATTTCTTTAACCAGACAAGCATTGAGGACCTCTGTGTGCAGCTGTCAGGAGATCCAAAAGTGACTCCAGAGCTTAGTGAGGACTGTCTTGCCCAGCTGGGTGGCAGGTTACTCAGTGCTGATGCTTTCAGAAACTGTTTCCTTCCCAACAACTCGTTCCTGATCTCAGCTCTGTGTGGCTCAGGGTCCGCTGGTTCCCAGCAGGCCCTAGAAGAAGGCAGCTGGGCAGCAGCATACTGCTCCAAAATAGGCAACCTAACTTTATATGAAGCTGCCTTAGAAGACAGTGAGCCCTGTCAGTACACGGAATGGACCCTGGATGATTTCACCAACTTCACCCTGCTGGAATTCTGTGGACAAACTCAGGGACTTAGAGAGCACATGTGTTTAAACTCTACAGTCTTCCAGCAGCTGGTAGAACTGACACCACAGTTTATAGATGTCTGTGCAGATCTGCGAGCACAGCAAGAAAGCAATAAATGCCTCCTGCAAAGGATTTTTGACATGCTTCCAGCACGGTATGAGTTTGACACCTCCCAGCTGTGTGTGGAGCCAGCACCGATGCTGATGGACCTGATGCACAAGATAAGTGTGTGTGAGATGGACGTCGGGGAGCGAGAGGGGTTCTTTGTGGCACTGGGGTATGTGCTGCGTATCCTGGATTTTGTGGTGGGTCTCTCTTCAGGGTTGGATGAGGGGGAGCGAGAGGCAAGGCAGGGTCTGGGCCAGGCCATCCTTCTCTCCAGTCTCCTTGACAACTCGTCCTGGGCCACCCTGCAACCAGAGGCCTCCACGAGCGTGCTTCACACTGTGGGAGTGTTCCTGCGCAGAGAGCAGAATGCCACTGTGAAGGAGGACCTGCTGAGCTGCTTCAGTGTAAGATGTTTTCTCTTTTTCTGCCTCCCACATTAACAAACAGGCTGTAACCTTTGCTCTACTGTGGCTTCAGCCCGTCCTCTGGGACCTCATCCAGCAAAATGGTAACTCCTCCGCTCTCAGAGTTCTGTTGCAGGTAAGGTGTTCTTCACCGCTATATTTGTATCTCACAGAACTGCTAGGCTCACTGAACTTCCATTTCATTTAATCAGGAGTATCTCCAGATGCCAAAAGACAGCATTCGTTCTGTGGTGATGTCTGCTGAGAAAGAGGCTGTGAAGAGATTTATCTCACATATGCATCAAAGTTGGGACCAGCTACAAGTTGAAACCAGCCAGGTTGGCTCTGCAGGAATGTTCACAGCACCAATTCTTCACTGTTCTTGTTCTTCTCATGAGAGATACTATTGATGACAATCAAAAGGGGAGTTTATTGGCCTCAGATTTTCTCATCTGTTTTATTTTTCCCTTTCAGGCCTCTCAGCAAGAGTTGCAGGCCATGGAAACCATGACTGCTGCTTTCATACACAAGTTCCCCAGAGTGACCCCGGAGCTCTTTGTGGACCTTTCTCAGTTCATCCCCTTCATGTCCGTTTCTGACATAATGAACTTCCCGGCCTCCTTGATCGTCAACGACAGTGTGTGAGTTACCAGCAGAGGATTTAATGTTTCATTTAAAGGCAACTCTGTTCTCAAACGGCCCTCCTGTTGATGCCCCTCAGCCTGACAGCCATTCGTGACCACAGCTCCAAGATGAAGCCCCTGCAGAAGAAGGCTTTTGTGAAACGACTGCTGCAGTCGAATGTGGTGGGCGACGTGCCCACGTGGCATCCGCACTTTCTCAGCTCCATCCTCCCGCTTCTGCCTTACCTCCCAGTCCATCTTTTTCAGCAGCTCACGTCACAACAGGTGAGGAAGCTTTTAAGGAAAACTTCCAGGTCTCTGCTGAATAAGGAAGAACAATAAAAATTGGGAAAGGAAGACTTTGTGAATGCTAAAGAAAATATACAATAATAGAAACGTGTTTAGAGGATCTACAGTAATTAAATATGTACCACGTCTCTATAGAGCAATGTTTATAAAATTTGGACTTCTATTATTTCTACATGCATATTATTAATAATTTAGCTATATTATATTCTGATTTTATTTAATAATGTTTTTTTCTTGATTTTAAATGCTCCTTTCTTACTTTTTATATATTGATTGATTGATTTTTCTTTTATTCGCGTTTTTGTTGTACATAAGTTTTTCTATTTAGTTATTTTACTTGTTTTATTGCTTTTTTTCTATTTCATTTCCATTACATTACATTATTGTTATTTTTCACAATACAAGAACCGAATATTAGACACATATAGAGTTTATTTACACTAAAGCTATTGGACCCAATTATCTAACTGCAAGAATCAGAATTTTTTAAGTGATACTGAATTTTAGAGCTGAAAGTAAAGATAGGCAACAGAAATATTCAATCCAGCAAAAGCAATTTTCACGGCTAATTAATTCCCATTAAATTCAGTATTTTCTCTATTTTCAACTTTTTACCTTTTTTATTTTTTAAGGAGGCTTCTTATGATTAGTTTAAACATGTTGCTGATTATATCCTCAGCTCTCTCCTCTGGTGGAGTTGATAAGCAACAGCAGTCTGGATGGTGTGAGGGGCCGCCATGTGCTACGGACCCTGTTTAGTAAGAGAAAGAACCTGACTGGTGACAACCTGCTGAGGTGGGATAGATTTTTTAAAAGATTGTTTATGTTTTCCTGTTTGGCTCATCTAAGGACTTTTAAAGATGCTTCTGGAGATCTGCTCCCCCATGTTATACAGATTTATTGTCATGTGAAACATTTAGGACACTAAACAACATTGTTTTTATTTTCTATTATAATATTTGGACATATAAAAATTTTATATCAGTTTTTATATATAATATGTATTCAAATACAATAGACAAAAAAAGTAAAAAAAAAAAGTTTAATTATTTTGTGATATTTGATATTTAGGAATAATTGTGGACACTCTTGCATTCATTGCCATGTGAAATGGCTAAAGTTATGCACAAGATTGTAGCAGCTTAATAATACGTAAAGGGATTCAAAGAGTCCTCAATAGAAAACCGTCTACAAAGCTAGTAAATTCAAAACAGCTGCCAACAGGCTCAGATCTAGCAAACTATGCAAGTTCTCCAAACAATCCTTTGTCATCATTGGCCTACAGTAGGCTCTTTCTACTGTTGCTATGGAAGTGCATGTTGGTATGATACAAAGGACACTGCACAAGTTTACTTTTCTATAAGAAAGAAACAAAATGAAGGCCAAACTATAATTTTCCAGAGGACATGGACAAAAACCATCAATTTTTCATCACGCTTTATCCCAAGCATAGTGGCGAGGAATGCTGGTGCCTATCTAAAACTGTCTATCGGCGAGAGATGGGGTACACCCTGGGCAGGTCGCCAGTCCATCGCAGGGGACGAAAATCAGGACTTTGTTAACATGTTTCTTGTATTGTAATTTTCCATGGCGGTGCTTCAAGGCAGCGGCCAAGAGCAGCTCCTCTCGACAAGTTCACCAAATTTCATAAGATATATACACTCACCGGCCACTTTATTAGGTACCCCATGCTAGTAACGGGTTGGACCCCCTTTTGCCTTCAGAACTGCCTCAAGTCTTCGTGGCATAGATTCAACAAGGTGCTGGAAGCATTCCTCAGGGAGTTTGGTCCATATTGACATGATGGCATCACACAGTTGCCGCAGATTTGTTGGCTGCACATCCATGATGCGAATCTCCCGTTCCACCACATCCCAAAGATGCTCTATTGGATTGAGATCTGGTGACTGTGGAGGCCATTTGAGTACAGTGAACTCATTGTCATCTTCAAGAAACCAGTCTGATTCCAGCTTTATGACATGGCGCATTATCCTGCTGAAAGTAGCCATCAGAAGTTGGGTACATTGTGGTCATAAAGGGATGGACATGGTCAGCAACAATACTCAGGTAGGCTGTGGCGTTGCAACGATGCTCAATTGGTACCAAGGGGCCCAAAGAGTGCCAAGAAAATATTCCCCACACCATGACACCACCACCACCAGCCTGAATCGTTGATACAAGGCAGGATGGATCCATGCTTTCATGTTGTAGACGCCAAATTCTGACCCTACCATCCGAATGTCGCAGCAGAAATCGAGACTCATCAGACCTAGGAAACGTTTTTCCAATCTTCTTTTGTCCAATTTCGATGAGCTTGTGCAAATTGTAGCCTCAGTTTCCTGTTCTTAGCTGAAAGGAGTGGCACCCGGTGTGGTCTTCTGCTGCTGTAGCCCATCTGCCTCAAAGTTCGACGTACTGTGCGTTCAGAGATGCTCTTCTGCCCACCTTGGTTGTAACTGGTGGTTATTTGACTCACTGTTGCCCTTCTATCAGCTCGAACCAGTCTGGCCATTCTCCTCTGACCTCTGGCATCAACAAGGCATTTCCGCCCACAGAACTGCCGCTCACTGGATGTATTTTTTTTTTTCGGACCATTCTCTGTAAACCCTAGAGATGGTTGTGCGTGAAAATCCCAGTAGATCAGCAGTTTCTGAAATACTCAGACCAGCCCTTCTGGCACCAACAATCATGCCACGTTCAAAGTCACTCAAATCACCTTTCTTCCCCATACTGATGCTTGGTTTGAACTGCAGGAGATTGTCTTGACCATGTCTACATGCCTAAATGCACTGAGTTGCCGCAATGTGATTGGCTGCTTAGAAATTAAGTGTTAACGAGCAGTTGGACAGGTGTATCTAATAAAGTGACCGGTGAGTGTAGGTTTGGCATAAACTAATCACACCCCACTTAGGACAAGCGTGTAAGAAAATGGATGGATGGATGGATAAACTAATCACAAATTTCTAGGAAATCAGCCTTATGGAGCTTGTCTTACTAAGCATGTAGATGGGAGTTTAATATATGGAGATGCTCTGCTGCAGCAGGATGTGACCAGGTCACAATATTAACATAATTAATTCTGAGACTATCGGGGAAAATACCTACACTGGATCAGAACCAAACAGATCTATGGTTTTGTTGTTCAAGCACAACTACATAAATTATTGTACAGAAATGAAAAATAAGAGTAGACATCTTTATATGAAGACTTCAATGCTGTAAATTCAATCGTATTTCCTATCTTTTTTTCATTATGCACTTTATTGTCTATATCATTAAATGCTTTGAAACCTGTTAAAACCCATTTTTACAAGATTCGTTTGAAGCTACTGCTGAAGAGAAACAAGGTCATGAAAAAGAAGTATTTTTCCAGATTAGGAGGTCTGGTGTGCTACTTGGATCCAGCAGAGCTGGGTATAAATCTCCAAGACCCAGCTGTGTCCTCTGCTCTTTGGCAGCAGTTGTCTCAGTGCATTTCCAAGGGGTTGATCAGTGCCAGCGGCAGGGTGAGAGACATTCAGCCAGCTATTTTAACCTCTAGCAGCATCAACTAGAGTGTGTTTTTATGTGAAGTTATAAGATGCTTGACTGACTCGGTTTAACTGTGTTTCATGGACACTACAGCTGTCATCCTGGTTGATCCCAGCAGTATCAACCAGCCTGAACATTAGCAGCATGACTTCTGCTGAGCTGTCTGCACTCAGCGGTTTGCTTCCCCAGTTAGGAGCCTCCTTCCTGCTGTCGCTCCCATCGCAACGTCTGCTGGAGATCTTATCAAAGCCAGGAATTCACAGATATTCACCAGCTCAGGTCAGCAGGGAGGGAACTCTTCTTCACACTTTTAGCTTTGCATTTGTCTGTTCTGCTTTCATGAGTTTTTGTTTCTCCTCCAGTTCATTTGGTATATAAAATTGAAGTAAATATATAAAAGAAAAGTTATCAGAGAGCTTTCATATCTTTTCTTAAAGATTCCCTGAGGAACACATATGAATGCTTTGTTTCCTCCAAAATCTGACTGATTTTGATAGCCTGATAAAGCAGACTAAATGTGAGATTAAATGTGTAATTTAGTTTGGCCCTGATAAATGGGACATCGGAAGATTGTTGATGAGAACAACCCGTTGTTTTTCAAACCATGTCAGTGCCTATTAGCCAACGCTCTGACCAATGAGCACGACTGTGACATAGTAAGCGTGACAGAAAGCTGGTGGGGAAGAGTAAACAAACAGCATGTGAAACGGCTTTTGGTAAAAAGGCGAATAAGTCCTTCTTAAAAATGAATTAGCGTAGAGCCTCTTCCTGCACACATTTCAACAAAAACTCCAAATCGAATCCTTCCTAAACTGATTCCTAAGCTGAGTCAAACAAGAACTGTTCAATAGTTGTTACCATCTTCCTTGTTGTGCTTTCTCCAGCGTCAGGCAGCTTTGTCGTCATGCCCTTAAAACCCCGCCTGCTTTGCATCCAAAAATTCAAAACACATCTCTACGTTGTGATTAGCCCACCAGGTCTAGGGCCTGGGGCATTGATCGAGGCTAGACCACTGCAAAACATAGGCATACCAAGAAACCTGTGGATACCCTTAATAGGCTTTATGATAAAATGCGCTCGATAAAAAAAAACTTTGTTTAGTATTTGTGGAAAGAAAAAAATGTCAATTAGAGACTGACATTTTTTTGGGAATCCCACGGGTCACGGGATTCCCGTGGGATTTCCGTGGGATGCGAGTCAGTATTAGTAATGATCACGGGATTGGGACGGTACAGGATTAAACATTAACGGGAGCAAACGGGAGCGGGAGCAAACCAATAGTAACTTAAAAAAAACGAGGATCGATGCCAAAAATAAAATAAAATAGAAAGAAAAAAATCCAGTACTGGCGCCGCCGTTTTGTAGTTTTTTTTCCTTGAAGCCTACACTGTAATGCGAGTCAAAAAAACTACACGACCCAAAAACCAACAGTGCTTCCGCTCTGAGTTTTTCACCCGCACTCAAAAACAACAAGAATGGGAGTGGTGCGGGAGCGGGAGTCATTCTGAATGGGAGCGGGATGGGAGTGGGACTAATTTCACCAGGAGTGGGACGGGACAGGATTTAGATTTCTACTCTGGCCCGGGATCGGGACGGGACACAATTTTTTTCTGTGGGAGTGGGACGGGAGAGGAGTGAAAATCCACTCCCGTGTCAGTCTCTAATGTCAATGGTGAAAATGTCATGTATCATGTGTGCATGGAGAGTTTCTGGATATTCTCTATGCATAATCTTCTTGGTTGATTTTAAACTGTCCCAGACAGAGATCGGCTCATCCCAAGAATACACCACCTCAAAACAAGCTCAGTGGGTTTTATGCAGTCCAGTACAGTGAGGAATGTTCAGAATGTTTCACTTGAGGAAATAAACAGCATTTACATAAACAGATCCAGCACAGAGGAGCTAGCTCTTTTGGTACAGATTTAAAGGCTCACCCATATCTCAAGGACACAGGGCACTCACTTAAGCACAGCAATGTTATGTTGGCCCCATGTAGGACCCCACCAGGTTACTGTTACTGAAAAAAATGTGCTTTTCTTTTCTTAGATGATGTAAGATTAAAATATTGATGGCTTTTTAGAGAAAGGTGTTCTGCTTAAATCATGTAATCTTTTGGTCTGCATGCTAAATCCAAAGTGTGCACTGCAAAAATATAAATCTAAAGAAGATTTGTTTTTCTTAAAATAAGTCTGTTTTTTAATTATTGAGAAGGGAAGTGAGACACGTTACCAGTGGAACAACTGTAAGACAGCTTACTTTTAAATTTAAGAAAAAGCAATTGCATTGTCTTATTTCAAGTACATATTATCTAATTATCGTATCCTAATCCCAATTAGGATCCTAATCCTATCCTAATAGTAAAAATAGTAATTCCATGGGCAAATCATCTTACTTACCTACTCAAACTAATGGTAAATACACTTACCGGTAATTTAAGAAATTTCTACTTATTTTTAGATCGTTTTTGCAGTGTGGAAGAAGGCTAACACCACACATAACCAAAATTACCAATCATCCACAGATCAGAATGTTTTTCATTAGAAGGAACAAGGAAGGTTGTTATATTTGATAAAAAAACAAGATGAGCATTTAGTGTTTGTGTGTGACAATGGCCGAGTCAAAGTTCAGACCTAAATCCAAGACTTAATAAAGATCACACATTTATTCAGTATAAAAAAACATTAAAAAACTTTTATACTTTGAAATGGAATTACATTGCTTTAAATCTGAGTAAGGTATTCTACTATAAATACATTTAAATTTTAATAGGTGTCATTTATTTTGTTTTTCAGGCATTTCAGGTTTTATCCAAGATCACAAAAGACAGTAATGTAAGTGATAATGTTCAAAGCATTTGTACTGACATTCAGCCATCTGCGATCTCAGCACAGTGTCCATCTCCTCCTGCCAGCTTACTGTGGAAAACCTGTGCCGCCTGAAGCCGTTGCTCTCTGGTCTCTTCCCTGCTGTGCTCAGAAACCTCCATTGGTCTGATTTCAGTGAGGAGCACTGTCCGTGCTGGAGAACACTCCAAACTGATCTTAAGCCTGGACACAGAGCCATGTTATTCAATGCCATGCAGGAGGTGATGGTACTTTTTTCCCTTAAAACACCACTTCTCAGTTTCTTCTCCTACTAGTGCTTTGCTGAGGACTCTATGTTATGTGGCATGATTTCTAGAAGTACAGCATTTTTTTTAATTTTTTTATTCCAGTGCCAAAGCCATGCAAAGAAAGCGGCTAATTGAGATGAGATGACATCTCAACAGTAGCAATAATAGTTTTTTCTTCTTTGGTTGTTTGCTGGCAGGCTCTCCATAAAGACTCTAGGAACTTCACTCAGCAGGCAAACTGTCTGCTTCCCTTTGTCCCTCTGAGAAAGCTGATACAGGCCATGAATGGTGGGACCATTTGGAGAGGCATCAGCGCATACAGAGACATACAGTGGTCTTCTCAGCAGGTACAAACTCTCCTATAATCTGCCGACTGTGTGCAGCCTCACATTTCTTTGAAACAACAAGAGTGGATAAAAAAGAAAATCATCCTAGGCTGGATTCCTGCTCTCTTTAATCTGCAACCCATTGGATATGCTTCAGATGAGCCTTTCAGGATATTAATCCTCCGTTCACATCAGCTGCCATCAAGCTAATTACTTTGGATGTAGTACAATAGTGTGCTGGAGTGTGGCATAAATTAATAATGGCTGCCTTAAAGGGATTTTTATCACAGCCAGGAATGTATGAGCCTGTTTTCACCACCTGTTCTCAGACTAACAAGACCTGAATTTATTTAATAAAGATTACCCTTTTCACATGTGCTGAAATATACGCCACACTTTTGATGAATAATATACCGTGCTCATACTGAAAGGAATCTTTAACAGTCAGATGTTTCAGGGATTTCACACTTAGTGGGTGATATCCTGACCTTTGATCAGTGGACCAGATCATTATCATCTTCCTTATTGGACTCTGGTTGTCTGGTCCACATGTGTTTGTGGGTCTTTAGAGGAGTCGTTTCTTTTTTGTGTGTGTTTTTACGGCACTAGTGGCTAATTTTTTTATGGCCAGTAGGCTGACAGGAAAGGGGGTACGAGAGAGGGGGAGAGACATGCAGGAAAGGACCACAGGATTCGAACCTGGGTTGCCTGCGTTGCGGACTAAGGCCTACATACATGGGTTGTGTGCGCTAACCACTACGGCAACCAAAGCGTGCTCCCCTTGCGGCGTTTTATCATACCTGGGTTGCTTTGTTTCAGTGTATGTGAGACTATGTTTGAAATTCCTAATTTATCCAAGGTAGGCTTATTAGACGAAGCTCTGACTGCTACACAGTCAGTGGCAATACCCACAGAAAGGTGGCCTGATCCCTACTGTTAGGTTTCCTGCCGCCCAATGCAGAGGAGTTTAAGTACTTAGAAGTGTTCACCAGAGATGGTAGGCTGGGGGATTAAAACAGAGACTGATCAGGAAATAATGCAGACATTGCTTTGCTCTACTGAGATGAAGAAAGAGAGGAGCCAAAAAACAAACAAAAAAATGCACTTGATTTTCACTCTGCATTTTGACCGTCGTCTAGACTGGTAAAATATGGCTCATGACCCTAAGGATGAGATCTCAGATAAAAAAATAAGCTTCCTCTGGGTAGATGGCCTCAGCCTTAGAGATAGGCAGAGGCAATGGTAAGCACATTATGGGGCAACATTTTGAAATTGCACACTAAAGATCCCTCCTCTCTCTGGAGTAAATATGTGTGCTACAGTGCCCTATACAGTGGTGAGGGCACCTTATTTTTTTTTCCTTTCCTGCCCTTCAAAAAGTCTGATCATGCCAATGGGAAGATGGACTTAGACAGAAGGCCCAGAGCAGAGCTGCTGCTTTTCTGCATCTTCTTCTGGAAGAAACCTTTTGGGATGACCCAGAATTTACTGGAGGGACAATACTTCATAGCCTTTCTGGACAATAAATTAGGGATCACCCTGAAGAAGAGAATAAAGACACTAAGATTATGTCGACGATCCCTTCCTGTTGTGTTGCAACCCAAACAAACAGGTGGAAGAAACACAAAAAACATATATTGTACATGAAATCCTAATCTTTGTGTCTCTTTTCTTTTACATTGTATAGATATTTTGTTTTTTTTCATCCACATATGAACAGTAATTAACAATAGATTAAATAGTGTCTTTTATTTGCAGACTCAGTTTTTGTTTAGACAGATCCATGAATTCAAAAACGTCACTATCAAGATGGTGAAGTAAGTCTGACCTGCAGCATAAACACTCCAAACGTTGACTTTCGGTGCAGACACACAGTTATAATCAACAATGACCTGTCTGCTGCCAACAGAGATCTGGGTCATATTGCCGCTGGAATGAGTTGTGACTTTCTAAAGTGTTGGATCAACCACACAGATTTTACTGAGTTACTTCAATTTGTGAGTGAACTGCCTGGAGGTCCAAGACCTGCTCTGGTAAGAGATAAACCTCTTCCACAATGCCATGGAAGGCAATGTTCAAAGCGAATGCACAAACAGTTCAGAGTTAATGTTTTGGCTGTTTTTTTTTTTTTGCATTATCAGCAAAAGTGCATTGTGGACGAACTGCGGAAACAACCTGAACTGGAACTCAGTTTTCTGAGTTCTGGGTTTGCAGCAACCTTACCGTAAGTAAACTATGTATTTTAACCTGGAAATAGGATATTTCTCCAATAATTTTGAACCCTTTTGTCTCTTCTCCAGAGTGACAATGGTAGACAACTTGTCTAATGCGTCTATCAGAGGAATCCTGAGCCACATTCAGCTTGAATTTCTTGATTTCCTGAGATTGCCTCACTATAAGCAGACAAAGTTAGCTGAGAAGGCCTTATCTGAGCTGGTAAGGTGTCTATGTAAACTTCACAAGTACTTTAGTTACTGCAAGATGTGAGAATTATTGCAAACTGCAGTATGCTTCAGGCAAAGAAACCAGATGGTGGTGTAATTCTTATCACTAATTGGTGAGATAGGAAAATAAAAAATCTGTGGTAAAGTAACTGAAGAGATAAAATGCTCTCATGATAATAATAAAAGCCAACTTAGAAAAGTTTTTCTTGGTAAGACAGCAGGCTGAGTCATGGGGAGCTGTGATGTGATGGTCTAAAAATAGTAATTCAAGAAACAGAAGGAGAAAGAGAGTTAGAAGCAGTTTCTTCCTCTCAACAGCTTTTAACTCAGGTAGAATAAAACATTGTGAACTTGAGTTAATCCAGGATGTCTGTTCTGTCCCAAAGGACTCTTCCCTGGCTGAGGAGAAGATTGATGGGGCTGTTCTGGATGTCCTGGGGCCACTGTTGCCTTTCTTGGACAGAGACAGTCTGGCTCTGGTGGACAGAGGAGCACTGGCTCTGCGGCTGGAAGAGATGAGGAGTTTCTGTCTTCCCAAAGAAGCCCTCAGAGACATTAGTGACCTTCTGACTCGGACAGACCTGCTAGGGTAAAACATTATCTGCAATAGATTCTGGTTTCTCTGAGGAGAACATTTGTTAACTGCACATACAGAACCTTGGACAAGTATTCCTGTTTAACTTCTTGGTTAAAGCCACAAACTTTAATCCATTGTATTGGGGACCAGAACTGTACATATGCATGCAACACTTTTCAGTTTGTATTAAATAAAAGCAAAGATCCACGTATTAATTCAACCTGGGTTCTTTCTCCAGACTGCATGTTCTCCCTTATATGTGTGGCTTCTCCAGATTCCTTTCTCACTCCAAAAAACATGATCGCTAGATTCACTAAATTGCCAGTGAGTGTGAGTATGTGTGCGTTTTTTTTTTCCTGTGAGAGACTGGGTGACCTTTCCTGTCTGCAGTTTTCATTTCTAATGTATGCTCATGTATGGATATTGTTTTGATAAAATAATAATAACCATAATATGTTTGCCAGAGATCCATCCAAATGGCAAGTTGGGGATATTGAGCATCTGGGCAGGTTGGTCTTTGGTCTCTCAACAAAACAGATTGACTCAATTCCCTTGGTAAGATAATCAAATAAAAGGATCTTTATAAATCAGAATCTAAATAAGATTAATTCTTTCTGTGAGTATATGACCTTGTTTTTTTTTTTTTTTTTTTTTTAACAGACAGTGTTAAATCAGAGCACAGTGGAGCAGGTTCTTGTGAGTCAAAAGTTTTGGGAGAAGAGTCTGGTCGGTGGAATCTGTATGAGTCGGTGTGTGGACCAACAGTACCACAGAAAGCAAACCTGGAGCCTAATTCGAGGAATTGTCAAAGCACGGAGCAGAAGGGCAAAAGGTTCCACACATTCTCTAGATAAGCCCAATAAAGTACATTATAGAATCAGATTTACAATAAAACTTTTGTGATCTTATCAGTGCCAGCTCCCAGCTGTGCAGACATCAGAGGAACATTCCCTTCAGCTTGGACCCCCACCCAGCTTCGCCGTATGTCCGTAGATCAGCTGAAGGATTGTGTGGAAGTTTTTGGTCAGAATCCGTCTCTGAGCTCCAAGCAGCGACGTGCGCTGTGGGGGAAACTCAGGCAGGTCAGAAAAACCTACCCAACATCAGACCATAAAGCATTAACAGCACTTTGTAAGGGTTTAATCTGCAAGAAGTTTGTTGAATTCAGTATGTTCTGTAGGGCTGATAACACAGACGCTAGCTCGCATCTCTTTAAGAGATCTCCAGAGGCTGCAGCCAATCTTTGACTGCAGCACAACACCATCCCTCCCTAATGCATATAAAAACATTAAAACACACAACTAATCAAGATTTACCACATAATACAAGTAAAAACATATTGTGATAGTCTCTAGTACATTTTAACATGCCATTTCACAGCCACACACTTCAATGTATTATTAGAATGCTTTATAATAGATCAGCAAAAAGTGTGAAACAGATATAAAGTCAAATTAAAAGCATAAATAGTTTTTAAACCTGTAGGGTAGTGTGCATTTGTAAAAGCCATCCTGGGTAGCTGTTGTTGTTTCTTTTAGAGTCTGTCTCACCAGCTCCTTAATCACCCTTTGTAAAAATAAGTCAGATAGGATATAAACCATCTTTAAACCTGATTTTTCAAATCTTGCTACAGACTCCCCATTATTTTGATAATGTTATCTTTTTGCAGCTGTTGTCAAGCTTTAGCCGAAATGTTCTGACATTCTTTGGATGCATTGTGCTTCTTTCAATACAGTCCTTCAGTCCGGTGAGGGAGCTGAGAGTGGATCAGGTGTTAGCTCTTGGATCAGTGGTCACAGAAATGGGGGACAGAGAGCTGCAGGATGCCAGTCTTACTGATCTCGGTGTGCTGGCACATCTGGGCACACTGACGAACTGGGCTCCTCGAAAGGTATGATCCTGTATCCAGATGTAAAACTTAATAAAAGCGTAAAGGTATAGTGTAGGATTTTGGCGAATTTTTGAAAAGACCCGCCCTCTCTACATAAAAAAAAAAAAAAAATGCACATGCACAACCCTGCACCTGCTCCTGGGAGGGAAAGCATATTAAACGTGTGCGAGAGCTTGCATGAGCCAATTTCTCCTTGTTCACGCTGTGTTTAAAATAAGCTTACCACCTAAAAGAAGATTTACAATTTTTACACTATGTCAAATATCCCCCACTATACCTTTGATTCAGTGATAGTTATTAAATGCTCAGATATGTTTACCTTTCTCAGATGAGAGCAGTGGTTTTAAGTGTGATGCGGAAGAGCAGACTAAAAGTGGAGCATTTAACGGTTGTTGATTTGGCAACGCTGGGCCATCTAATCTGTGGTCTGCAAGCCTCGGAGATCAAACGCCTGAGCCCATACAACCTCAGGTCAGTCTTAGAAATACATCTATGTCATATAAATACGTAATCTGCTTTGGGGAGGATGAACAAAGACTTTCAAACCTCAGTCAGGGATCTTGCATTTACTCAAAAGGAGATAATGTGTGTAATATTTTCCTCTCAACCTGCAGTGTAGCTGTTATGTTCCTGCGGGAAATGACCCTGCCGTGTACAGAGCAGCAGATGGAGGCGCTCACAAACTGCCTGGCCAGAGCAGAGGCCTTTGGTCCTGTCAGTGCTTGGGGGCCTGAGATTTTCACTGAAATCGGGACACTTGCAGGTACAGTGGAGCATAGAATCCCTCAGGGTGCAAACTTTCTGTGCACAAACTTTTCAAATTCGTTTATTTTCAAAGAGCAAGAGGGGTTACAGCTGGAAATGGCAGCTCTTGGAAGGATAGGTCCAATTAAAACGATCCCAGAGGCTTAAAGTAAAGGAGGAACATCATTCACCTGACTACAGTGTTTGTGCCTGTTTCCAGCGGGTCTGCCTGATATAGTGCTGTCAGCTCTGCTGCGAGAACAAATGGAGGGAATCACCCCCGAAGCTGTGGCACTGATGTCTCCGAAAAAAATTGCAGTGAGTTACACTTGTTATTAAAAAGCTGTTTGTGCAATGAACCTGCAATATCAAAGCTGGCTAACAGGGATGTTATGGTGGGAGCAGCAAAAGTTAACTTAACCTTTAAAAGCTGCAAACTTGGAGTAAAGATACAGCAAGGGTCACAGTTTATGAATTTCCCAAATGATTATTTCTACATTTATAAAAAAGAGTAAATAAATTCCTCAAATCATTCTCAAACATTGACTGATAATGTTTAAAACTATTTTAAAATCTATAAAAAAATATATACTTCAAGCATTAATTCAAATTCATTGTATATTTATAGCTGATTATTTTTATTTATCAATTTATCTAATGATTTTACAGACCTTCATTGATGACGGGGTCTATTTAATGGGCAACCATAAGGGGATAAAATAATTTATGATATACCGGTACTTGAAAAAAGGGATTATTTGAAAAAAGTCAAATATACTTAAGTATCAAATATACTTATCATTAAGGCCTGCATTTCAGAATTTATTTTTGTAATGGTCTGATGTAATATTCTGATCCTCAAGGTCATATTTTTAGAGGTTGTAAACAGAGAATCTTTATTATCAATAAGAATTAAGGTCTGAAAGCATTCATTTCTCTTTGTTTACTTTATATAATGTGTTTTACTAAGGGAATCAAGACGCTTAAATTGATAAATTTTCTTTAATGTTCTAATTTATAGTGATGAATCAATTTATTGATGGACCATCTGCTCTGTTCTCTCCTCTGGATTCATGACTTAAATTGTACAACATATGTTCAGATACAAATATTGTGATCAGTCCAGCAGGGAGAAGCAGACCGGACCAATGACTTGCATTTAGCTACAGTTCCCATCTCTTCACACATATACACTACAGGACACTACAGGATTTTAAAAGATAGGTAAAAAAATCATTTAAACTAATTAAAATGAAACTAAAACGCATGGATTGATATGACAACCTTTAACCCTCCCAGCAGCTCTGTCCCTTCTCATCCTCAGTCCTACAGCTGAGTGGAAAAGTCTTTGTGCCTTTATGTAATGAATATTTAGATCTTGTTTCAGATTTAATTTTCATAAGTTCTGTTTTCCAACAATCAAAATGGTTTATTTTTTTATATCATTTTTTATTTAACCCCCCCAAAGGCTCCTTTGAAAAGGGTGAAATAAGGCTAGTTGAAATTTAGCCTTTCAGGATGATATATCTCGCCCACAATTTCACAACGTTCTTTGTTTTGTGTCACAGGTGGTGTTCAGTGCAGAACAGTTATCATGGCTGAGTGTGGAGCAGGCGTGGGCCGTGACAGAGGAGCAGTGGGCAGAGCTGAACGCGGAGCAGAGGCATGCTGTTGACCTGGCACGGTATGAAGGAGACGTCCTGATGGAGCTCAGAGGTGTGTGTGTGTTTTTTTTTTTTTTTTTAGAAAAGTGTGGTGAGCATTCTTCTGGTAATTATTTTGTTTGTGTCAAATCAGCATGAGCTCAGTTGTGATGAATTCTACTACTTCTTTCCTGCAGGACGAAACTCTGCTTCATCAGCTCTGAACACAAAGAGCTTCACTTTATGCTCACTGGCTGTGGGCTTTTTGTTACCACAGCTAATTTAAACAATGGAACAAAATTTGATCCTAAAAATGACTTCTGCTGGTATTGTATTTGTACTGCAAATAAATATCTTTAAATTCTCCCCTGTTCATTGTATTGGAATCTGAATTTACAGAGATCTTTAATGTGCTTTGCAGCTTCATATTAATCACTTTTATAAGCGTTATTAGCTTAGTAGGCTCTAAATAACAGTGTGTGTCCCTGTGCAATGTTTATTGAACAATAAAAAAGGGGGGTGTCAATGAATAATGTTTATTTGACCGAGAAACAGGCTTTCTAACATTTATGCAACATAATCAGGGTTATAAACCTGAGGAGATTTTATTGCATGCAGGGAACCAAACTATGGAAAAATGAGAACAGAAATGGAATCAGCAATCTGTAAAAGACCTTTAATATCTTGCACCAGTTATTGATAATGTTTGTAGACTCCTGTAGGGACTTCACACGAAATGTAACTGCTCTTGATCTCAAACAATTCTGAAAAAGTAATGTTTTGCTCTATTTAAACTTACTATCTATACATCAATTAACCAAAGGACTCATCATCTCTCTTCAGATTAAAGATTGGATTCAAGATGAAACTAAAATATGGCTTTGGTAAAGAAACCATGGCAGGTTGAAAGTATTTATTAGGTGGGTTTTGACGAAAAGTGATGTGTTGTAATTCCATTTAATGATCTTTTTTTTGTGTGCTCCCAACACAAAAAAAACACAAGTTGTGGTATTTTTAGCGGACAGCAATACAAAAGCCAATCTTCTCTAACGGTCTATAAGCAAATGATGAACTTACCACTAACCACCTCACTAAAGTTTGGGCTTCCACTTCACACAGCACCACTAATGGACCAACTGCTTCAAATGCAGAAAAAATTAACATATGTTCAATGCAAAAATACTTATAGGTAAAGGTAAATTTAAAGGTTCCAAATTCTGCTGCATTTGAAAATAGAAATTATTAATGAGCATGCTTTTGCTGTTTGTGAAGGAAAATTCCTCTCAGATTAGACTCACAACATCCACCAATAACCTCCTCATTCAGCCCTCTTCTAAACGAGGCTTTCGGCTTTCCATACCCTCACCTTCTCAAAGGCTGGACCTCAAAAACCCACAACCATGAAAAGTTGGAGTTCGTAATGATGAAACAACCTTAATTATAAACAAACAAGAACACCCAGTAGCCTAGTAGCCAATTAGCCTGAGCAGATACCTCATCTATCTGCTACTTACAAAACTAATTTAATTTAACACAAGCACACAATCAGAATTACTGCAGATATCCTGTTATGAAAAGACAGTTTTTTTAAGCACAGAGAAGATGATCCATCTAATATGCTTATATGCTGACGTGTTTGCAGGTGACCAGGCTAAGCAATCCGACACAATAAAGTTATTCCCAGGTTTTAAAGGTCTGTAATGGACAGCTGGTATCAATGTACTATTCAATTTAAGGTTTGTGGAGAAGCCAGCTTTATTAGAGCCAATGTTGTGAAAGTAATCTTCTTTAAAATGCTCAGTACACAGATGTGAAATCCATCCTCTGAGTCTTCATAGGCTCAGATGAAGGCAGTAAAAAAGACTTTTGCCTTGTTGATGCAGCCAATAACAGAGGAGCTGCTTTGTTTAGCTCTTAGCATAGCCATGTCTTTTTGGACGCTCTCTCTGTGTTGGTGAGCAGAGAGATAGTGCCTGCTAGAGGGCGCGCTTAGTTAGGGGAGGAGTGACTTCATTAAGGGCAGGACTTTCGAAACAGCATTTTCAGCACACATTAGCTAAGAGGCGGAGTTAGGTAGAGAGAGGTAAATGTTTTTTTTTTCTTCCATTTGTGAACCTCATACACAGGCTTCAGGACACACGTGACTTTCAAAATGTTTATAAAGAGAATTTTGCATAATATGGGACCTTTAATGTTGCAACTCAAGAGGTTTTAGATTACATCCCGAACCTTCTTCATAAGCTTGTTGAACGCTTTTAAGTAAATTGCTTTGTTGCTACTACTCTAACAGATGATTGCAGAAGATATCACACTCTCAACCGAGCAGGGCCGTGAAATTTTTTTTGCTTTTGGACAAAATAACTTTGAGCCTATAGGCCTATTTATAAAAATAAAATAAAACAATAAACAATAAAAATAAATAACTACATAGATGGAGATTCATACACACTTCAGTTCACACAACCAACTTTTTTTTTTTTTATCTCCCTCTTGCTACTAGGGGATGCTTCAGCACCCCAGCACGCCCACTTCCTATGGCCATTCAATAGGGTGACGATATGCAGCATCTGAAAGTCAGCTGTGTACAAAGTAAAAACAAATGGTGAGATTTCTTGTAGTGGTTCCAGTCGTACTACCCTGCTCTGGGGGTCCTTTGTTTGTCTTTGGCAGTGATGACCTCATTGTGTGCCTCACAGCCTGGGTGGCTGGTCTGTGACTCATTGTGTCAGCTCATGAATACTCATATGGTGAAACCTTATACAAACATATACACTCACACATATACAATAGTTGTTTGGATACAGGTGCTTACAAATATAAAGTTATTTTCTACATAGAGCTGGGGTTGCACCTAATGTTAACTTGCACCCTATACATTTCTTTGACATTGATAAACACTAAACTGAAGCTACAGTTTAGCAACACAATAGATTCATAAACTTTTTTAGATCTAATGTCAACTACTCTATGTTTCCTGGCTCCTGCTCTCCCTCTGCTCGACCAAATGTATGTGGAGAATACCATCCAGCCCTGCTCCTCTCAGGCTCAGCAGAGTTACATTAAAAAAATCATCAGAGGAATGAAGCAGACCACCTGCTGCTTAGACCTCTCACTTCAAACCTCTCAAGTTCCTCCTTCCCTCAAATCTGCTGTCATTCGTCCCTGCTTGAAGTAACTCTCCCTGGACCCAGACAACTTTGCAAACAACAGACCCATTTCAAACCTCCCCTTTCTCTCAAAGGTACTCTAATAAACATTTCCCATGCAGCTTCAGGACTACCTCACACATAACATGCATCCATTTCATTTTTTCTGTCACACCTAACAGTGTCACCAGGGGTGCTGGTGCCTATCTCCTGCTGTCAATGGGCGAGAGGCGGAGTACACCCTGGACAGCTCGCCAGTGCATTGCTGGACAACACAGAGACAAACAACTATTAATGCAAACACTTACACCTAAGGAGAATTTAGAGAAGCTGGTTAACCTAACAGTTATGTGTTTGGTCTGTGGGAGGAAGTTGGAGTACCCGGAGTGAACCCACGCATGCTCTGGGAGAACATGAAAACCCCATGTAAAAACACCCTGGACTGGGAATCGGATCCAGAATCTTCTTGATGCAAGGCAGCAGTGCTACCCACTGTGCCACTAAGAAGCCTTCACACTTAACAATCTGAAAAATATCAGTCAGGTTTTTGTTCAGTCTACAGCACGGAGATGCCTGTACTAACAGTGACAAATGGCCTTCTGATGACAGCTGCCTAAGAAACCTCAGCTTCCTTTGACCTGAGTTTCCCCTTTAATGCATCAAATGCCAACAAATCTGCCAGATATTCTTAATCTTCTATGTATTTGTATTTGCTCCATCAATCCTCATCCTCCTGAATCTGACGACACATCTTTCGACAAGGTAGACCACACCGCTCTCCTTCAGCATCTCTATGGCATCATTCAACTTATAGACCACACACTGCAGTGGTTTGTGTTCCTATCTTTCAGATGCGTCTTGCATGGTGGATGTCAGTCAAGGCCGCTCTGTTTCACCTTCCTCCAGTTAGGGGTCATTCCTTGCCCAATTCTTTTCAACAGCTGCATGCGTCCCCTTGCTGAAGTCATCAGAAAACATTGACTCTCTCTAGACTGTTATGCTAATGATACCTGACAAAACTATCCAGATGCTGCAATATATATCAAAAACATCGCTGCCAGGTCACATCACCCTAATCTTTCAATCACTGCACTGGCTTACCATCTCATCCCAGGTCAACAAAAACAATTCTACTACTCACCCATAAATGCACCAAATGACATGCACCTGAACACTTTCAATAACTCATTACCCTACAGGTCACCAACCACACCCTCATATCAACAAATACCCTGCTCATCCAAGAGTCCATCACCAGGCTCTCCATCAGGAGAGCCTTTTACTAGACAACACTATCTGGAACAGCCTCCCTATCAAGCTGAGGGCCACTCAGAGCCTTGACTCTTTAAAAACAGGGCTGGAAATTTCTTATTCACTAAGGCTTATAAATGTTAATATATTATTGTTTATCTTTCTGTCTGTCCATCTGTCCGAGAATATGCTCTAGCTGTCACTTATTTTAGCTTTGAGATCTTACTTATGAAAAATGCATTAGAAATTAAATGTATTATATATCATTATTATACTTTTTTGTTGCCATACAAGCTGCAATGCTCAGCTTGTGAAAGTAAATATGTTGGGGCTCTACTTGGCACTCAAACAACAATTCTGAAGGCCACACTAAAAAGCAAACGCCATAAAACTGCAGTCGTTTTTGACAGTTGCTTGTTTGCTTGCACAGGTGAGCCAACAGGACCTTTATGTTGTGGGATGTCAGGTCAACAGGTCTCTAGTCATTGAAGCTCAGCTTTCTTTGGTACCGGAACAAGGCAGTAGGTCTTACATATCACTGACAACTATCATCTAGGTCACCCTTAGGTTAAAGACTTACTGTAGAATCCCACAGAGCCGCTCTGCACAAGCTTTTAGGACTCTGGGGCTGATACCATCTGGACTGGTTCAGTCTCTGCAGCTGTGTCTCTACCTG